CTTGTGTCATCTCAATTTTTGAGTATTAAATCGCATATTGACGAAAACAAAATCAAAAAATTATTACGAGTTGATGGAGAAATTACATCAAAAGGAATTTTATTAACAACGGAGTCTAAAAAAGATGGACTTATTTCAACAATAAAAGTTTGGTTATTTCAAAATTTAAACTAAGAATTTGGCATTAACATACATAGACACTTCCAACTAATTTTCAAATTAATGGAAAAATAAAGTCTGATGGTATTGGAAAAGGATTTGCATTATGGCTAACAACAAAACCAATTGTTTCTGGAAATAATTTTGGAGGTAAATTTACTGAGTCAAGTGAAGGGATTTATGTAAAAGTACCAACAGACTCATTAAGAGGAACAACAACAATCCATAATTCAGAACAACAATTATCCCAATGTACTTTTCCAAGTTCCATTAATTTTGAAAGTATTTCATTTGAATTAAAATATACAGAGAAAACAAATAAGTTAATTATTTCAATAGGAAAAGACAAAGGAGGATGTGAAATGACATATGAAGGGAAATTAAAACATATGTATTTTGCAATATCTGCATTGGATGATAAAAATGGTGGAAATCATCAAATTAAGTCACTTGAAATTATTGATTTAAAGAAAAAAACAAAAAGTACTAAAGAATTATTAGGAAATGATAAAAGTATTAATGGATTAAATTTTGGTTTTACTGAAAATGAATTATTTAGTGATGGAGATAATATTGATTTAGCATTACAAAAAATGTATTTAGTGTTAGGAAAAGTTCAACAACAAGCAAGTAAATTAGATAAACTAAATGATGAAAATTCAAATTTAATGAAAATTATTGTTAATGGAGCAAAACATTTAAATGAAATGTTAAAGAGTCAAGAACTTATCATTGATACAAGTGATATTCTTGTTGATGTAGATACATTTATGGAAAGATTAAGAGCTATAGAAGAAATTACAGGAACAACAACAACTGATCTTAAGATTTTAATTTCAACAACAATTAAATCTAACAAAAATATAATAAAAAATAATGAAGCATCTACACATACATTCTTTTGGATTTGTTTCTTTTTAATGCAATTTTGCACTGTTGTATTGGTCTTAAATTTATTGAAGAAGAAGAGAGATATGAATCAAAGAAAAGCAATTTAAATTTTTTAATTAAATTTTATTTTCATTTAACAGAAATAAATTAAAACATCTTTATTTAGTTCTTGACATAATAAAAGAGAATGGGTTTATTTTAGATACTGTAGATTTAATATTTGTAAAGAAATCTTGTGATAATTCTTGTGAAGTAACTTGAGAAGAATAATATTGTTCTTGTTTATCAATATTATTTTCAAGAATTGTATCTTTTTTATAATTATCATCTTTTAAAGAAGGAAATTTCTTTTCATCATATTCACTTGGTTCAAATAATGGAGATAAAGGTATTGATTGAGAATTAAATAACTTAGAAAGTGTATCTAAGATTAATTGATAATTAACTGATTTTGAATTACAAATAGATGATTCAAATAATAATGCAAGTGATAATGGAATTAAAGAATGACTAAATAAAGAAAAGGATTTAAACTTTATTTTTAATTGATAAATTTCATGTGGATTTGAAATAGTATCCCATGGTAATATTCCTGTAATGTTTTGATAAAAAATATAAAATAAAGGAATTATATCATCAATTGGAATAGACTTCTTTCCTAAATGTTGATTTGGAGAAGCAAATTTAAGGCTTCCTTTAAATCCTAACTTCTGATGAAAAGAAAAATCTTGATAATGTTCTGATAAACCAAAATCAATCAAAATTATATCTCCATCTTGAGATATCATAAAGTTATCAGGTTTTATATCACAATGAAGTATTTGTTTTGAATGGATATATTCAAGAATTTTTATCATTTTATATAATAGTCTAAAAGATGTTTGTACAGAAAATCTTAGTGTTGGTTGATTTAATCTAAGTTGGTTAAGATTCATTATATGTAATTCAAATACTAAACAATATCCATACAATTCATATCCACATTCAAAAAATTGAATAATACTTTTATTTCCTTGTAATTTTTTAATAATAGTAGTTTCATTTAATGCACTACTTTCTTCATTAACAATTTTTATTGCAGCACTCTTATTTGTTTTTGTATTCAAACAACGAAATACATTCCCTAATTTATATAAATTGTCTTTATTCTATTAAATAAGTTATTATGTAATACAAACCATACGTTCCACTACCAAGTGGTTCTTTTATAATCCAATTATGAAATTGTTTTTGTGACTCCATCTTAATAACAGAAGCGATTTAAAATTAATTTAGAAATCGAATGTACCTTTAATCTTTTTCCTTTTATCTTAAAAGTGGATTTCCAATAAAATATTCTTTATTCTTTGAAAGAATCAAAGGAAAAATGAGTCAAAGTGAATATTCTCTTTTATTCTTTCTTCTAAAAATATTATTTCCTTTCTCTTAAACTTTTCTTTCAAGTTTCTAAAATAACACATTTTTATTCAACAAGAATCTATTTAATTTCTTCTAATTTCAATAAACAAATTTTATGTTATTTAAACACTTACAAAGAAAGTAGAGAAAAGAAGAATGGATTAATCTAAAAGGATGTATAAAAAGTATTAAGACTTAAAAAGTTGTTAATTAAGTAATATTACTTTTATTTTCTTATTGTTCTTTGCTCACATGAGACTAGTCATATCCCTGTGATTTAAGAATGATGACTTATCAACTCTTCACTTTTTTGTTTTTCATCACATTAAGATGTGTGATTTTCCATTCTTTATTCTTTCGTTTCGACTGGATAAATGTCTTTTCAATTTTGTCAACTTATATTCTTCATTTAAGTAACTGTCTCATCTTTATTTGAATTTTAAAGGAATATTAAAACTCCTTTTTCTCTACTTTCTTATTTTATGTTGGATGAACCTACCATTACCATTCTATTACTAATCCATAATTTCATTCAATACCATCCCTACACAAACCTTTTTCCTTTGACAATAAATATACGATCAATTATACTTACATCTTAACAAATAAATAATACTATTGTCTTAATAAATGTTCATTCTTCTATTATAACAAATGATATTTCATCTTCATAACTAATAATCAATGCCAATATTGAAATATTGAGTAAGATGTTTTCTGTCTAAAAGTAACATCATTATCAGTTAATGACAGGTAATTCAGTGAATTGTTTCATTTCAATGTTTGTATGATGTTTCTAAAGTCTCACGTTGAGTCTGAAAAATGTTATTATAAAATAAAAAGGAAAAATTTTAAAAGAATCTTAAAAGAAAAAATCTTAAATAAGAAAACCAACAATATGCCAAACCCCACAGTATTTATCGCTTTTCAACAGCCAATAAAAAAAGCAATTGTTTGCAATGACCTGTATGACTCAGTAATAAGATTCGGTAAAATTCAAAGAATTATTTGTATGAATTCACATCGCCCTGATATGCCCCATTCATTAATAGAATTTGAATCACCGGAGTCAAGTAACAAATGTATTGAATATCTCAAAACTAATCCCCTCCCAATTCTTAATTATAAATGTAGGGCAGAAGTAAGTAATGCAGAGTCATTAAATGTTAAAACTGAGAGTCCACAAGCACATGACTATACTATTAGTCCTAGATTTGGACATGATGCTCCAATAACAAGAGTCTTACTTGTTAATGAATTACCACGATATGTAACTCCACAATCCCCTTTTCATTTTTATAATCTTTTTTCATTATATGGGTCTATTATTAAAGTTAATGTTCTTAGCGAAAAACGTACTGCAATGA